TAGCCCTTACCCTGGGGCAAGATGGAGGGTGTAGCCCTTACCCTGGGGCAAGATGGAGGGTGTAGCCCTTACCCTGGGGCAAGATGGAGGGTGTAGCCCTTACCCTGGGGCAAGATGGAGGGTGTAGCCCTTACCCTGGGGCAAGATGGAGGGTGTAGCCCTTACCCTGGGGCAAGATGGAGGGTGTAGCCCTTACCCTGGGGCAAGATGGAGGGCGTAGCCCTTACCCTGGGGCAAGATGGAGGGTGTAGTCCTCGCCCTTTCATCCTTCATGGCCAGTCCTCTGGCTTGTTTCTTTGGAATCGGCAAGAAAAAGCTGATGTTTTCTTGGACCTCGGCTCTTTGCATAACAACCAGGTATGTATTAGCCCTGTGAATGCAGTCTGCTCTTAGCAAATGAACATTCAGTAAACTTTCACTGCCAATTATCAGCAAGGGGAAGTCAGAACTCACCACCTTGCCTAAGAGGGAGTTTCAGGACTCTCCCACTACTTCCCTTTCAGCCTCACCTTGGAAACTCTGTGCCTCCGGCTAATGTTCAGCTCTCTAATCAAGCTGGGCTATTTCCAGGTGCTGAGATATTTCCTGGCCTATACATCTGCTTCAGGCGCTACAAAGACAAGTTCCAGGTCACCTTAGAAAAAAAGACTTAAGTCAAAAGCAAGTTGATGAACATGCAATTTGATTAAAATGATCATCTAGTTAAAAAGAAAAAGGCAACAACAGCAACCAGTGACTTTAAGACTTTTGATGAGAGAGAATCATTGATCAGCTGCCTCCTTCACATCCCCCACTGGGGATCAAGCCTGCAACCGGGACATGTGCCCTGACAGAGAATTGAACCATGACCTGCTGGTTCATAGGTTGACATTCAACCACTGAGCCATGCCAGTGGGGCTCTGTCCCTCTTTGATTATAAAAATCCTTACAGAACTACCTGGAGACAGATAGAAATAGTAAAAAATATATATATCCTATATAATAAAAGGGTAATATGCAAATCGACCAAACAGCGGAGCGACTGGTCTCCATGATGCACACTGACCACCAGGGTTTCAGTGGTTCTCAACCTTCCTAATGCTGCGACCCTTTAATACAGTTCCTCATTTTGTGGTGACCCCCAACCATAAAATTATTTTCGTTGCTACTTCATAACTGTAATTTTGCTACTGTTATGAATCGTAATGTAAATATCTGATATGCAGGATGTATTTTCATTGTTACAAATTGAACATAATTAAAGCATAGTGATTAATCACAAAAACAATATGTAATTATATATGTGTTTTCTGATGGTCTTAGGTGACCCCTGTGAAAGGATCGTTTGACCCCCAAAGGGATCGCGACTCACAGGTTGAGAACTGCTGCCTTAGACTTAAGATCTTGGATCTTAGCTCCTTTAGCTAAGCTCTCTGACCCCCAATGCCTTTCAAAATTATATTTTGTCTCCAGATTCTTTATTAGTCTCCGGATTCCTATTAAATCTATGCACAGCCCCTTCTCCAGATTCCTGAACCCTTCTTGATGCTGGGACAAGAACCCTGGCACCACATTATTTTTGTGATGTTAAAAATTAAACTTAAATGACCAAAACTCTGGTTATTCCCTCAAGTTTGTCTAATTAAAAAAATGTAACATTTTCCTTCTATATATGTAGATATTTGAAACAGTATTTCATCCATTCATTTATTCAATAAATATTTCTGAGCTTCTACTGTGTTCCACAATTGCTGTATGCAGAGATGAGCAATATTGTGTTTGTCATACCCAAATTTGGGTCATTTTGTCTTTGTTTTTTATTTTTTTATTTTTACAAAGATGTTACATTTGCCTCCAGGTGATACTCTTTTCTCTCTTCATATATGTGTTCAAAGGGAAATTATTAAGCATTTCCACTTCCTTCCACTCCTGCCCTATCATGAAATACTGTTTATTCATGAGAAGTTGATCTCTGTCAAATTGTAAGCAAAGTGCAGCAATATTCCACAAGAAAGAGTAACATTATTCACCAGGAGTAAGGATGCCGGGTAGGAGTAAACTGGGAACAGGCTGAAGGGCCCTGTGGGAGTCCCAGTACTGGAAGTCAAAATCTGGATTTGTGGGAGAAAAAATAAGGGCTTACTTTCTCACAGCCATATCTACTTCTAACTAATGCAATATACCACCTGAGAAAATGCCTAAAAAACCCCACACTTTTAAATATTCTAAAGGTCAGCAAAACAAGAAATGACATGTTGAAGGATTCACAAAATATTCCTATAAACAGAAAGTTGCTCCATGACCAAGAGTAAACATGTCTGACAAAGCTATTTAACATCCCTATTAAAGTATTAGAGCCACACTCCATAAATGTGATGAATTTCGAAAACTGACGATTCAGCAAATTGGCTTTGAGCACATCGAGTTTGGTTGAGATGATTTTGTGTAAATTGCCTGTTCATTCAATTGTATTTTCTCAGAGTGAATTTTAGCCATTTGCTTGCCTCATCCTCCCTTATCACTGCACTTATTTCATTAAAGTGTAACAGTAGTAAAAAGAATAGCTAACATTTATTAAAATTGTACTTTATGCCTCCTCTAAACTAACCACTTCAAAGGGCATATTTTTAAAAAATCAGTGTTCCATAGGCCAACATCCTACATAAAACCTAATCACCACCATCACCATCATCATCAATCATCATTATTTGAATTTGAACATTTTAGGCAAGCACACACTAGTTTTACCACACACACTACCAGATTACCTCTGCCCCTTCATTCATGTGTCGATTTAATGCCCTGAGGATATTTTTCTCTGTAACCGCTAAATGCAAGATCTCATACTTGAAGGTCAAAGTGGTCAATGTATTAAAACATTGTTATGCTGCCTCTAGTAAATCCCTATTGGTTTGCTTGTCATCAGACCTACACTGTATCCACCCTGACACCTAGACCGCATTGATCTCATTCATTTCATCTTGTTTATCTCTACAGCCTAGCAGCAAGCCTGACCCTAAACAGATCCTTGGGAATATTTTTTGAATATCTGAATGAATAACGTAACCTTTTCTCCACTCCCATAATTTTACTTTATCAACCCTTCATCTTCCTTGCTTCCAATTTACTTCCATCCAATGAACACCAAACATTTTCACTCCACTGATGTAAAACAAAACCAAAACCAAAAAACACTTGTCACTGACTCACCTTGGCTAAGGGATCAAATCAAAACTCCTCAGTTTGACAACGAATGCCATTAATGACCAGGACCCTACCACCTGCCTTTTCAGCCTCCCCTCAAATGCACATTTTCCCTCTTGCAACAATAAATTACTAATTCTCTGGACACACAGTGCTATCCATATTTCCGTAAGTTTGCTTAGATCGCTCTCACCTTCTATGATCCTAGGAAAATGTGGGGTGTTTTTTTTTTCTGTATCGGCACATGCTCATCCCACTCTACATCAACAGAACTTCCCTAGAAAGACTATTATCTCTGTACCTCATGTGTTTTCTGTATCGGCACATGCTCATCCCACTCTACATCATCAGAACTTCCCTAGAGGGACTATTATCTCTGTACCTCATGTGACTGCATTATTTGCATTTTTCTGTTGGGTTGAGGGTAGAGTCTTAAATATTTTTCCCAAATAGATAACCAATCATCCAAAAATAGTTTAATGAATAATCTTTCTATCATCCTTAATTTGAAATGTCAGCTTTATCCTAAAATAAATGTCAGATCTATCTCTGGAGTATCATTTTCCACTGACTTGTGTGTCAAATACCAGATGCTTTTTACTATAGTTCTTTGTAGTGTGTCTTGATACCTTGTAGGCCAGTCCTATTGGGGAGGGGGAGAGTAGACAGTATCTTATTTTTGCTTTGTTTTGCACATCCCAAATTGCCCTACAGTTGAACACCTTTTCGTGTTTCTTGGCCATTCGTGTTTTCTCTTTTACGGAGGTCCCATTCATATCCTTCACTCATCTGTCTAGTAGTATATATATTGAAGAGTTCCTTCTCCCAGGTCTTTCAACTTTATGGTGCCTTCCATAAGAATGAAGTTTTAAAATTTAGATGCCGTTAAATTTTCAGCCTTTCCCTCTATGGCTTTTAATTTTAATAACTTGCTCAAAAGTTGCAAAACTGTTCTCTGAGAGTTATATGGGGATGGCGACACGGGATACTGGAGGATGAAATCCTAGCCACCCCGTCACCTGTGGAGGGGGCGAGTTAGAAGTTAAATGGAGGCACAGAAGGGTTAGGTAACTAGTCTAAGCTTCCGCAAAAAGTCAGTGGCAGAGCCGCGGCTTAAACCCAGTAGTATATATATACTCCACAGCCTGCTCATAGCTGCTGTGCCCTGAGGTTTCAGACGCCGAACTACAAGGAAGAGCATTGCTTCCCACAGGGCACGGCCGAGCTGAAGTTCCAATATGAGGCTCCCGGTTAGTAGACTTCTAAAGCACCACCTAGTTCCACACTTTATCTTAAACGCGGGAAAGTGACTCTTGAGAGAGGGGTCTACCCTGCAGATGAGGGCCAGCCACCGGGCCAGACTCCAGCA